CTTAAATTAAGTACAGTACTTGCCAGCATTCAAAGCTAAAAGATTAATTAATTAAATTATAAATTAATTATTTTAGTATTTTTAAGTAAATTACTATATTTAGTAATACCGGGATATTTTGTCAATACCATACCGAGGTATCATTATATTTAATACCTCACAGCCCTACTATCCAGTTAATAGTAGAATTTTTATAAGAGTCAGTTAGTTTGTGCTTAAATAAATGTTAATGAACCATTGTGTTTATAGGATGAAGAGAAGAATGTTCAGTTTACTATACTTAATGACAGATCACAGGGAGGAGGTAGTATCACTGATGGCTCAGTAGAATTAATGGTATTTTATTCATAATAATTATTGAGTTTAAATGATTGTTTTTAAAATTATTTTTAGGTTCACATGCACTTAGTTGTAGGAGATGGTGCTGTTGGACCATTAAATGAGACAGGAATGAGTGGTGATGGTTTAATTATTCGTGGAAAGCACCTACTGTTGCTTGATAATGTGGATAACTCAGCACATACTCAGAGAATGATGGCAGAAGAACTATTAATGATACCAGAACTGTCTTACTTGTAATGTTGGAATAAAACTTGAAGACTATAATCTCAATTAAGGTATATCATTGCTGCTACTGGCTCTATTGTATATAATTTGTATTATTTTAGTATAGTGGACTCTCTGCTTCTCTTCCTGATAATGTTCATGTATTAACTCTTGAATATTTGGATCAGTCAACAATTCTTCGTTTAGATCATCACTTTGAGTCCAATGATCCTGGGAAATGGTCAACTACTATTGATGTTAAACTAAGAGTTGGTTGTAGTTTCTTACATGTACAGTATGCTAGAGCCTGGGTTCCCAAAGGATTAGGGTATGGTGCTCAGCTTCTTGTGAGTGAATTTTTGCTCAAAAATTTGACATATCTCATAATGGTATTTTGTCAAATTTCATCAAACATGGCAATTGTAGAATTCTTATTTGACACATGTTTTTATGTTGCGTAGAAAGTTTGAGCTCATTTAAATCAAAATTATAGTGTTGTTGTAGTTCCTTGGTACTAGAACTAAATCAATTCTAGTACTGCCTTTTTTTTCATAGTTCTAGTTCCAAGAACTAGAACTAGTACTATTTTTACAACCAATGTAAGAACTAGAACTAAACTAGAACTAGCTTATACAAGACTTGTAGTACTAGAACTAAACTGGAACTAAACTTTGCCAGAGTCTCAGTACTAGAACTAAACTGGTGGTACTAGAACTAGTTTGGAACTAGAATTGTAGAACAATATTACTTGACAAAGAAGGTACTAATTTGTCAGTGAAATATTTTAGTACATAACAAAGACTGAATAACAAATAATGTATGAATTTGTTACTTAGACATAGATTATAATGCATAAGTATATCAATAGACTTTTGAATACTTGTTCAGTTTAAAGCTAAGCAGTTAAAGCATGACAGCAGAAGCAAAAAGAAGCAGTATTTAGAAATTATTTCCAATTAGAACTAAGCTTTTTAAACTCTATTGCCAGAACAAGTACAAGAACTATAACTTAGCTCTAGAACTAGAACAATAGCTAAAATTTATTTAAATCTAGTTCTAGAACTAACTTTATCAAACTATAGTTCCAGAACTAGTACTAGAACTAAACTTTATCAAACTCTAGTTCCAGAACTAGTACTAGAACTAAACTTTATCAAAGTCTAGTTCCGGAACTAGTACTAGAACTAAATTTTATCAAACTCTAGTTCTAGAACTAGTACTAGAACTATATAAAATTATGGTACTACAACAACACTGCAAAATTAGATTTAATTTTTTAAATAATTCAAAATTATACTGAAGTCCCTGCACTAGAGTATTGGGTCGTTGGCCAAATTTCGACAAAAATTATGAGAAAAGAATTATTCACTTTTATAATTTTGTCTGATGCCTATACATGTTCTTATGTTGTGTAGCAAGTTTGAGCTGATTGCAATCAAAATTGGATTTTTTAAATGAATTTTTATGGTTGTCCCAAATGCTATGTACTGTTTGTAGTGCTTGTCAGCTCATGAAGCATGCTCACTTGCATGCTTTTTGGGAAACCCAGGTTAGAGCAAATACTCTATAGCTGGAAATATTGCTATAATTTAATTTTGCTGTTTGCTGTTACATCATAAAAATGCACCAAAGCATTATCAGTAATGGGTGTGTCAACTATCAACAGTTCACACCTACACCAGCAAAATTAAATTCTGCATGCATTAAAATTTGCTCTATTAGTGTAAAATTGCCAAATACGATTCCCGCGAATTTTTCCAGCTATAATGGTGATCTGATAATTTTTGTAGGACTTATTTATTGCATTCACAATCAAAGATGTAACTGAATTAGCATTAGGAGGAAATGTAGCTTTATCTGATATTAAAAAACTACAGTGGCAGACATCAACTGATGAAACAGGTATCTTGTAATAGTTGATGCTATAATTTTACTCATTTCTCCAGTTCCTGGTCCTTTTAATCCCCCTCCTGTGACTGGTCCTAATTTTATTGTATCACTCTCTCCAATGATGATTCGTACATTCAACATTACCATTGAGCCAAAGATTAACTGAATGTTTTTATAATGTGTTTTGATTTCAAATTGAATCCATTTGCTTCTTTTGGCCTTTTTATATATATTACATGTATC